TAAATAATGTTATAAGGCGTTCAGTCTAGACCTGCTCTATTTGAAAAGTGTCCTAAGATAACTTCTGTTATGAATTGGCGCTAAACAAATTGAATTGAATTGAATTGAATTGAATTGAATTGAATTGAATTGAATGAAGATTATCGTCCAGATTTCCAAAGATGACTCATCATCTCCGCCGGATTGCTGTCATTATTTGATAAACATCCTAAATCCAAATCACAATAGCAAACAATGTGACATTTTGAATAATCCCAATATAAGTGTGACATATATAATGTAATATATACAGTACTCTTAGTACCATGAACAATAAAACACAGGATACACTGTTAATAAAACTGACTATGGTAATGATTTATCATAAAGAACAATTATTATTGCATTTCTCGCTGAGTTAGATAAGAAGATGGATGCCACTCTCATTTCTGTACGGTAAATATTAGGCCAACAGGTGGTTAGCTTGGCTTAGCACAAAGACTGAAATCGGGGGAAAGTAAAGAAAATCCCCCCACAAGCACCTCTAAAGCTCAATAAATGACGTTATAGTAAACAGTAAAAACAACAAGTTGCATGGGACTATTTCTTGGCCGGGAGCAACAACTTCCTAGAGTGTTATTTCCATGAATTTCCACAGGCAAAAAGCATTTTAATTACGTGTTGAGATGCACTTAGCTTTCCTATTCGTATGATGTGTCCACTCACTGTTTATGTGTTTCTCAACACAGAGATGTGTGTTACACTGCCACATTCAAATATCACACACCGACTGAATGAGCCTCTCCCTGGATTCTTTCCTTTCCCTCCTTTTATCCCCCGACAGCGCTCAGAGCAGTGCAGCACATGAAGCTGCTCACGCTCCTATCTCATGTCTCAGAGAATGATATTCAGTTTACTGAGATATCTCTGTTACACAGCCGCCATCGTCAGAGTGGACTTATTGCAGAAATAGATGCATCCTGCCCTCGCCCACCCTCCAAACACATCCATCCGGCACCACAATCACACTTTAGTATGAAGCAACAGCTGACACCAAATAGATGCAGCTAGCAGCAGCTAGTTATTGTGGAGTGGAGCTGTGAGATAGAGGTCACTGTTGCCACAGGGTTGAGATATGGAGGGAAAAGAAATGTTCTGACAGTAAATTACATGCCGGATTCACATATTCCATCAGAGGCCTCCACATGAGACGGATGTCATATATCACCAATATGGCTTATTAACCCTTTGACCTACATAAATGAAATGCATCAAAGCGCACCATTCAGCATGAACCATCTATATCATGTTTTATTTGTGCTGTCTTATTTGATGTAGTGTGTTTACACATAGTATACTGATGTTGCACATTATTTGCAATTTTACGTCTTCTTACAGTGCATTGATCCCACGCATTATGCATCAGCGTGCAAGTATCTCAGACATTGAATATAATTTTTAATCCTCACTGCCCATTATCTTAATGTTTTTATTCATCAGTCTTAGGATTTTATTTAAAAATGGCTATGAGTAATGTTGAAAAATCACAACTCGATTATTCTCACTCACACATGCATTTGATGGACATTTAGTCTGGTCAGAGAATGTCTAAAGAGCCGGAAAATAAATTCACCTCTTATTGCTTCCTATTTATGTGGAGGTGGCTCGATCTTTTTTTTAAGGATTTGCTTTTAAACTCCAGCTTCTAAAAAAAGAGGCCCTGTGAAGGTGAGGTCCTTCACAGGGCAGGCTGCCAAGTAATAACTTCTCTAATCGCTTATGCCTCATGCCCATATTTCTACAAAAAAATCCACTACAAAGAGAGCAAGTCACCCTTATTTGGAATAAGTGCAGGAGACAGCTGCTATACAGTATCATCACCTCATTAACCCTGCATCTGGATAGCAGGAAATTAGAAGTTTTTACACGCTCTCAACCCTACTTTTCCTCCTTTTGTCTCTGTTTCCCTCTGACCACGACCCCGTCTCTCTCTCCGGCTGTCTCTCCCTGTCCCTTGGCACAAAATAAAAGTAAATTGCTTATCTTTGACATAACAGGACTGTTTTTCCTCATGAAAGACATCGCACAAATGTCATCCAGGTCAGCGGCTCCCGCTGGTAATCAAGCTGGGACAGTGATTAGGTGAAATTAATCGCAGGCCTCTGTCGCTCATGGCTGACAGCCTGGGAGCCTGATAGGTGTTCTCCTCCCAGGTGACTTCAGCACATCAGGCGGAGAGAGTGAAAGACATCAAAGCTGAGAAAAAACTGAAAAAAACTCGCATTAGATTAACACCCGAGAGACAGCCCCAAAAAAGGGGTGTGTAGGTCTGTACAAGGATGTTGGTGTGTGTGTGTGTGTGTGTGTGTGTGTGTGTGTGTGTGTGTGTGTGTGTGTGTGGGTGGCTGGGTGTGGGTAGGTGGAGTGAGGTAATGTGTGTGAGTTTTCGTGCAGGTGTCTGCTTTTTTGGTGGGGCGGGGGTTGGGGGACATGAAAGGAAGGAGCTAAGGTTTGATGTGATAATGAAGCACCTTCTTTAATCTTCATCTTCTCTTTTATCCACACCACTCACTTGTGCCTATTTGTCCAACAAATGTTTTGGTAGGCCTATAAGGTAGAAATCTGCTTTCTGCTATTCAACATCTTCAGGTTTTTTTCACTTGAGAGCATAAAAAGATTGGTAATGAATCTTATACCCTTTTTGTTTCTGTTTGTCTTGTGAGACCTCCACCGACTCGCACGCACAATGCGTCTGGTGTTCGCACATTTGTTTCACGCTGCCCCACCCCCCACCCCCCCGTGTCTTAATATCAGACAAACCCAGAGCTTTGAGACTGGTCATGGTCCGTGGGAGTGAGCGGGAGTGATGCTAAGGTTAGCTCGCTGGAGCGTTTAGCTGTACATGGGCAGATTTACCGGCCTGTGAACCCATAAACCTGCAATTACAAACCCTAACAACTCTGGCGCAGGCGGTCTGTACACCACAGTTTTCCTCTGGGCTCGGGGATTTAAGCTTCACAATCAGTCAAGCGTGACTTCAGAAGCTAATTGCACAAGAGTGACACGCACTCACACACACACACACACACACACACACACACACACACACATCCTTACGGGAGAAAGACTGATGGTGGAGGTGGAATTTTGTTTGAAATTCATCAAATTTTAATCCAGTGCGTACATTTCCATATTTCCATATTTATCTCTTTGCGCTCCTAGCATACACTTCTTCTCTGCATATCATTTCGGCCCTATTAATAGCTCAAACCGCTCCTAATACACAAACATACAGAAACACACCCTCGCACTCTTGTCACCACAAGGAAAAAAAAAAAAAGACAACCTCCTATCAGGTCTGACGTTCAAAGACACGTGTATCCCAAGGTAGATAGGGCTGTCAATGAATCACTCCATTTCTGCCACAGTTGGTAAATTGACTGTTTGAAGCAGGGAAACAGATGAGAGGGAAGCCGGGTAGAGTCACAGATAAGATGTAGGATTCATACTCTCCCCCTCCTCTCTGTAATGAATCAGTGTATTTACTTAGAGCAATCTGCTCCTCTAAAATGGCACCGCAATCGCTCTGTCTTCTCCGGAGCGTTGTCACCCCCCTCCCCTGTTTTTCCCCAACTCCCCAAAGGTAATTGCTCTTACCTGAGACACTGTAATGGATCCTGGATGAAGTATTGACCGCTGCTAGATTTTGATTAAGGGGCTGTAGGGCAGAACATGTCTTTAATGAAACTGAGGAATCAGCATTCTCTGGCTGGTGCATCGAGGCTGGATGCTGTGCACTGTGGCCCACAGGCGCCTTGATTAGGACCTGATCCTCAGCAAATCCAGGGGTGGGCCACCGTTACTGAATTAAAAGCGATGAATTCATCCATTAATAATACCTAAGGCGTGTGTAGTTTTTCTCCGGAGGCTTATAATCGTTAAAGATTTGGGTATTCATTTACTGTAAGCTGCTTGCACTCTCTCACACACATATTCACACACCAGCTCTCTCAATCACTCAATCATCCACCTTGTTGCTCACTCACTGATAAGCTAATTCACTCATTAATACACTCAATCACTTCCCACTTTGTATGCAAAAGGTCAGCCTCTATCAGTTAGAATTTTAGCATGAGGGATAACTTGCATTAGCTTCTCTCATCCTCTCACTTAAAATTGCCTTTTTGCTCATGTTAAAAACTGATTGCATCTCGGATGGAGATGAAAGGGAAACAGCTAGCTCCCCACGTTCTTTGAGCGTGCAAATGGACATAATCTAAAAGGCGAGTATTAGCATGCTAAAAGACACCACAGCTATGATGAACACCATTTGCCAAGGCTTAATGCGATAGCCGGGTAAGATGATTAACTTTGAATCCATTTAATCAACCACAAGCGCTTTCTCAAACAACCAACTGTCTAGCGTTGGGGTAAAACTTTCCTCAGATCTGCTGGGAAAATGGGGTAGAGTAACAGATGTGTCAAATCACAGAGTGCCTGAATCGGAGCGGAGGCCAGCCAAACATTATTCTTTGAAGTGACGGACATCAAACATCATTTTGTGCACAGTATTTGTCATCCCTGCTCATGTTTGAAGCTCTCAATGGAGTGCGACTTGGAACACATAGCAGCTCGCTCATTGACTGGGAAGTCAATGTGCCCTTGGGCTGCATCCTATTGACTTAAGTAGTTCAAGTAGAGGGCTTCTCACCTCCTTTCACAGATCGACCCCTGTGTGTAATGCTGATAACTGGCTCTCCTAATGCAATGAGAATTCTGACCCTTTCGGTCAGATCTTTAACCACAGTGAAGACACACGGATCGTGGGAGATTGTGTTTGTGTTTACTGATGATATAAAGATTTTACTCCTGCTTTGTGTTCTGCTACCACAGCTAGGCAAATATATATATTTATGCTTGAAATGTGGCCTATTGTGATTGATTGATCCAATCAATTGAACAACTCATGGAAAAGTGTTTATTGATAATTTTCTCCTCTCTGTTTGTGCTCCCTCTTGCAGACCTTGATGACCCAGTGGTAACCGTGCATCAGAGTATAGGAGAGGCTAAGGAACAGTTCTACTATGAGAGGACTGTGTTTCTGCGCTGTGTGGCCAATTCCAACCCACCCGTCCGCTACAGCTGGCATCGTGGCAGAGAGGTCCTGACGCAGGGCTCCGACAAGGGAGTGGAGATCTATGAGCCGTTTTTCACTCAGGTAAGACAGAGGCAACCTGAAATGGATGAAAGCGTCAAATCAGAGAGAATAGTACATACAAAGAAAGGTGTATTGTTTTATTCAGTGTAAAAGGCTTATAGCTGTTGCCAGTTGAATATGAATAGTTTTTGGAGTGTTTTAATGGTGCTCTGTGCTGGCTGTCATGAAGACACGCACCCTTTGCCCTCCCTCTGCGCACTACAAAGGAAGGATAAAAAGGCTGATAGAGGATAGAGATGCAACGACCATAATAAGCTTTTGAAGGCAAAGCTACATTTGCTCTTTCAGACCAGGTGCCCTCTCATATTAAGAGATGCTCTTGTGACCAGTTGCATCTGTGGCACCCTTCTGTGTGTAACCAAAAGAAGGAGGAAAAGCTAACGTTGTTGCAACTAGATTGAAGCGGCAGAGCAGAGCAGGTTTGGAATTCATTAACATGATCAAATTCTTACTACACAGTGCTCTCTCACCATGAGACGCTGTGTGTATTACAATGTTTGCTTGCAACTATGATTGCTAATTTATGTGTGTAAAAACTGTTTTTGTTAATTAATGTTTCAGTTGTAATCTTGAAACAAAAGATCTCTGTCTTTGACAGTGATGGCCATATTGTTATTACTAGTAATCAAAATTCTAATGCATTTATAGCGCAGTACATTGAAGATCATGTTCTACATACTGTAGGGCCTTAAATAGACACTAGTACAGGTATGTAAATGATGACCTTCATCAACCTCTTCTGACAATGAGTAAGAAGTGCAACAACACGCCGTCACAACACACTATTCCTGCATTTTTACAGCAGAGATGAGTAAGCCAGAGTAGCTAATTAATGAATCAACACAACATCTTGTTACAAAGGTGACATATTGCAACACGAAATACTATACTAATAGTGTTGCTATTTTATTTGCCTTTATGTACTGGGAGAGTTAGTACCATTTCGAATGTGTCTTGTTTTCCTTTGGTTTCACATCTCCACCCCAAACCCCTAACACCACCCATTTCTGTGCTATGGGATAGTAAAAGTTGTACTCATTAACCCCATGAATAGCAATATCAGTTTCACTAACCCAGTTTCACATAGTTACATACATATTGAGAAATTGCAGACACAGAAAGATTGGATTCTCTTCAGAATCAGTTGGATTTTCTTTACAATTTGAAAATTGAGAATCTTTTGTTCTAAAGAGGATCTTGTGCAGTTGACAAAGACTTGACTGAGATTGTTCTGTCACTAGTAAGGGAATTGTAGTTTTTTTGAATTGATTGAGCTGAATGCGATTTATATGTTGAATTGAGCGACCGAGGGAATGGAAATCTACGAGAAAGAGAAAAGACATCCGAGAGAAGAAAAAGAGGCTTAAGAAACAGAGAGGGAGGAAAAAGGAAGTGAAATTGATGTTTGGCCAAATGAAAAAAGATGGCTGGGAACTAATGGAGTGGGTGAAGGAGGCTGAAGAAGCTGCACAACTGGGCCTCATCAGACACTCTTCCCTTCTCCATCCTGCTCTTCATACCTCTTTTCTCCTTCCCTCACTCCTTCATCCTGCCCTCTATTAAAGCTTTAATTGGGTCTGGGAATTTGAGCGCAACCCAAAGCCAGAGATTAGCTTTGTGTGAGTTCAACCCCAAATAAATCCTTACTAAACTCCTAGTAATTTGCTCATATAAATGGCTAATAACATTATTTTTCAACAATATGTCTGAACTTGCCTGAAACATACTCAGACAATTGAGTTACAAATTCGTAACTGACCGAAATCGAGCCTAGAGGCTCGAGTTGAGTCCATTAGAGTGCAGCCAGGCCTCCATTTTGGCTAGGCAGATTTGTGAATTAAGTTCGTCTCTTTACCTTCCTCCCTCCATTTTTCTCCATTCCAACTCCATTCCCTTACACCTTTTCAGCCTACCAAATGTTTTTTTTATATCCCCACTGATACTGTAGAAATGCAGTGGTGGCATTTCAAACTCTGTACGGAGAACAGGTTCATAATTAAGTGAGGCCCAGAGCTGTGCTTTTATTGTAGAAAACCCTGTCCTTTCCGCTGTCTGTTACTTTCTCCACCTCTCGCTCCATAATTTCCAGAGAATGGCACAATTATCGAAGGTATAATGGAGCCATTGCTCAACTCTCGTCAGATTCTCACCTCTTTATAGTAGTCAATATGTTTTGATGTTTATGATGTTTCCTTGCGGTGTGACGTTCTGTTTGAGCATATTGTCTAGATGTTGAGAAGATAACCATTTAAATACCCAGTTAGTAACATATTGCTCATCACCCAGCTGAGACACACATCACGTTTTTGTCAATTATGGTAGTTGTTTTTTTTTTTGCTAGACTTATTTTATTGGCTCTTGTGTAGTCAACATCTTTCCTGCTGCCCTCATTTTCATCTTTATCACCATGCATTTTAAGTTTATCAAGCTGGTTTTGCTTTCTGTGTTACCAAAGACAAATAAGACATCAAAACAAAACTGAAAAAATATATGTTTTACCTGACAGGGACAATACCCTCCTCCAAAATTTCTGTGCCCTTTACTGACGCCCATAAGTCCCATTCCTGATGCTCTTGTGTACTTTAGCGTTCAATCTTTCCATCAATATGGCCATCAATCCCCCAGTCCAATTCGGTTTAATGCGTTTGTCCTTTCCATTCCTTTCTCTGCCCCTTGCATTTTCTAAATAGATTTTCCTTCCAATCTGCCCCCCCCCGCTGTGAGTAAAGCTTGCACTCTGAATACCACGGACCTCATCTCCTGATATCTGCAAAGAAGCAGAGGAGGTGACAGAGAAAGACAGGAAGTTGAGTGTGGGCTCCATGGCTAATCTAATACAATTAGGTTATCCATGAGCCTCATTGGATAAGGGGTATGAAAGGGTTTGAAAGACGTGAGTGATTGTCATGTTGTGTGGACTGCCGCAGCGTGTGGCTGACTCATGCTTTAATCTGCCGTCTCCCCCTCCAACCCAACACCCACACACTGGAGTCAGCCAGATCAAAGGTTCATATCCTCATCAAAGCCTTCTGGGCGGGGCTCACGGTTGACAGGCCAGGCTAGAATCAAACGCATATTCTCAATGAGATAGCCGTTTCTGTGGAGGGATCCCCTACTGAGTCCATCCATATTTCTGTAGCTGAATGGTGGAAATAGTTCCAGCCCATTGACTGGAAAGTAATCCACTTGGTATTGAGCAAGCTGACACATTAATTTCCTTGAAAAATAACTGCATCATTTTCTGTAGTGATTTTACACTTTTCTTGAACCACTACCTTTACTTTTCATTTTTGGCTTTGTTGAAACTGTATACATATTCATCTCTTTGACCTTTCTTTGGAGCTGTTTGGCCTTTGTCATCTCCTGCCCAGTACCTAGTTTTTCTGCATTTCTTTTACTTGATTATGTTGATACTTTTGCACACATTTGCATACCAGTGTTGGTTTGGTCTGAGCTGCAGGGGGAAACGAAGATTTTGAAGCTGAAGAACCTGCGCCCTCAAGACTACGCCAACTATAGCTGCATCGCCTCCGTCAGAAATGTGTGTGGGATCCCTGACCGCAGTGTTATCTTCAGACTTACAAATAAGACAGGTAATATAAGACTATTGACTTTTCTGTAAGATTGCTTTATAAGAACAGTATACTTTTTTTTGCAGCAATCCATAAAGGTGTCTTAATAAATGCAGGATAGACATGGAGAAAAATAGTGTGTGCAGTCTCTCAACTGACATATACTGTAACTGTCAAAACTGCCAAAGTTGTCCATCTTCTGCTAATCCTTCTCTCCACGCTCTTCGTCCACAGCCTCCCCGTCCATCAAGCTGCTGGTGGAGGATCCAATCGTGGTGAATCCGGGCCAGACGGTATCCTTGGTGTGCATCACCACAGGAGGCGAGCCAACCCCCACTCTCACCTGGGTCAGCAGCAATGAAAGCCTGCCGCAAAGGAGCGTGGTGAAGGGGGGCACGCTCACACTTCCAGCCATCAGCTCAGATGAGGCGGGGGTATACAGCTGCGTGGCCAGCAACAACGTGGGAAACCCGGCCAAGAAGTCCACCACCATTGTGGTGCGAGGTGAGAAGCCATGACTGCATGACCCAATGTATGGTACCCTATAGTATTACATAAATGAAAGATACATTATAAAATAAATAATCATATGAATAAAACGAATAAGTGTGAAATAATATAACATTATTATAACTAATAACACATTATTCTGAGTTCATTTTTATTCAAAATGACACTTTATTGTATACAATAGTATATTATTATATAATATATAATGTCATTTCATGACAGTGGTAATGTCACCAAGGCCTGCTCCATCACTTTAACAAGCTCAGCAGCTGTCAGCTAACTAGCTAGCTCCTGTTAGCTGCAGCAGCCAAAGAGGAAGACTCTTCGCTTCTTTTGCACTTCACAATGCTGCAGAGATAAATCTGTATTAACCACCAAGCGGCTGCTAACATTGACTCTTTGACTCACTTTGATGCTGAGTAATAATGAAAGTTCCAACCTTAGCTGCTAGTTAGGTAGCATGTGCAGCCGTAAAAGCAGTAGCTAGTTTCTGATGATTATTTATTTCATGCCTTGTCTTGTCCGAGAACACTAAAGTAACTTTATTTCTAGATTACTTTATTTCTTTTGATTAAACATTGCATCCAAATTGCAATGCACTTGTTTATATACATTCATATTTAGGCAAAAAGAGTGGAAGCAGTAATTAAAATACACTGATTCAATGAGTGGTTTACACCAGTTTATCAAGAACAGCAGGGCAAGGGCCATTGCTACTTGTTTGGCCAATTATCAGGGAAATTATTTTTTCCAAGCTGCTATTCATCTGAGTGGCACAGGAGGCAGAAGAGCATCTGATCTTGCAGTAGCTCATTACAGAAACAACCATTATCAAAGTACCTGTTTTTGCATATGCTTGTCATATTGACAAGTGGATGCACAGAAGAAGAAGTACGCATATCATTGTGCATGTGATACTGTACGTACAATAAAATGTCACAAAAAAAAGTGCTTTGAAGGTTAATACTCAGACAGGCAATTTTACCATCTGCAAAGAAAAGCCGTTTTGATATAAGACCTGCACAGATGCGACATGATGCATTTTCATACACTTAAATGGACTGCTGTTACTAAGCTCGAGGATTAAGTGTGGTGTGTGACTAGGCTTTCATCTGTGACATAGCAGGATCCCGACGCCCTCAGGATGAAACTGCAGGAGCTTCTTGCAGGTGAATAAGAAGATGCATTAATTAGTGGAAGCCTCACAAACAAAACAGCATTCATGGGATGATCCAAATGTCAATTTTAACTTTCCAGAAAACATCACACACGCACAAATGGGATACATTTGAATGCAAGTTTTGCAGATTGGCTCAGAAAGTTTCTCAGAGTTTTCTCCTGTCATCTCAGAGATTATGCCACAGCTCCATCATCAGGTCGCCTCTGTGCTCAGCCTGTTAGGAAGCATTTATTTATGCAGCCATATGCTCCCTGGGATGAAAATCAAATCATCAACAAATCATTTCTGATGGCCCCCCTGACAGATAAACCCCCTCTCTGTATTGTGAAAGTGCCCATATAGTTGAGGACTTCAGAATCGAGAGGCTTACATCAAAGAGAAGGTGTCAGGTGTCACATGGCAGAAAAATAAGTCAGGGCACTCTCAATGCAGGCAATCACTGCAATAAATATCACGCTCTCATTGATGTGTCATACATCTGGAGCTGACAATGGTTCTTATATAAGATGGTAAAATATCATCAAAACAATTCACCACCTTCTTTAGATATGTATGAATACACACACACACACACACACACACACACACACACACACACACACACACACACACACACACACTGATGTGTCACATTCAAGGCTGCAGTGCATTGTCTGTACTTGTTAAAAGTTAAACAGGACAGATATGTATTAGTCTGCTTGACTAAATGTCATGCAGGATCCATAGCCATTGATTTGTTAGGCAGTGCTGGGCTGTATGAAAAAACAAGAATTAACTTCAGTTGCAGGCTGCTACCATCTGACTCCATCAATCTGGAAAACAAAGGCCTATACAACATATTGGTTCCTTAAAGCTGCCTTAATCATTTAACTGTTAACTCTTTAAAAGTCATATGTGTAAGGATCTGTTGGTTTAGTTTCTGCATATAAAGCCATCGCTGATGTCTGTGCAACATTTTTTTTTTTTTTTTTGTGAATTTGGGGATGAAAACAATCTAAACCGAAGAAATCTAGAACTAAAACTAAATGGGGAGATGCTGAAATTACATTATTAATCAATCTGTGACAAAGTAAATTGATGATCAATAAAAACAGAAAATTAATTGGGAACAATCACATTTATGAAGAGTCACTGCAGTTGTCAGATATATAGTTATTAGTTCGTAGTCACTTACAAACAGTGTGAGGGGTATAATGACACGAGAAACTTTTTTTGATGAACATACTTATATGACATATTAATTTAGTTTGGACATTGAAAGATATTGATTATCAAAGTAAAGCCAATTACAAAGAAAGAAGCTTGACAACACTATTTGATGGGAAAACCAACAAAACATCACTGTTGTCAAAATGAATTAGGACCGATATATATATACCAAAACCATTACAGGTTTTTTTTTTATTTAATTCTGGGACAGACTTCAGAACGTTTTCACACATCTCAGCGTGGCATCAGGATCACTCTCCTGAGTCTGATGAGCTGTCACTGACGCAAATACAATTCTGAGGTCAGCATGCACCAGGTGACGAGGTATAGTAGACTACATTGTTTAGAAATATATCATGGGTTTCATTTGTTCCTTAATAACTTGCTGCATATTAAGTAGTGCAGCAGCCCCAAAAAGTAGAGTGAAATAATGGAGACACACTCAACATACTCATAATTATGGACTTGTTTACATGTCAACACAAATAGTCCACATATTATTTGTATTCTGCTCGGCAACCGGCTATGTCCAAGGTACACCGCTTTTTAGAACAAATACATTTCCACCGTTTGCAAGAAATTTCCATCAACATGTATACTGTTAGATGTTTGAATTTAGATGTGATAAGCCCATATTGACCGATATATCTGTCCAGGTGTGTATAGTATAGTAGAGGACTTGTTGTGTCAATCAAGGCAAACTCGCTGTCAGAGTTTACCGAGTGTTTTATAGTCCACTCCCCATTAACTGGTTTGAGAAGGCCCTTAAAAAGGACAAACCCTTGTGAAAACACAAATGGAAGCGGAGTGGAGAGGGTGAGGTTGTAGTGCCCAGAATGGTGCTCTTCAAATTCTGCTGGAGAACAACCAGGCAAGATACACAGTTATAACACTTGAATTGAATCTCCTTCCCAACACTGTTCCATTGTTAATAAATTATAATCTGTAACCATGTAGGATTTAAGATAAGACTTTATGCTTTGTTCTCCTGTACATCTCACCTACTGCTGCTTCTCTAGTTGGCCAGTTTTCATACCTGCCAACATTGAGGTTTCAAAATACGGCAGGTTTTAGCAGGTTTTAGAGCAGAGAGCAGCTGCGCACACGCCCCTTTAAACAGGCTGTGGGGTGCCGGGCTGTTGTCACAGATTGTAGGCCTGTGTAGTGTGTGGACTGTGTGTAGATTGTATTTCATAGACAATATGGCAACTTGGGTGACATCAGGCCAACACTGTGTATGACAGTTATTCAAAAGAAAGTTTGAAGGCAGAAACAACAAAACAACAGGGTGCTGGATGATTGCCTTGCAATATGGGTGAAACCTGGGAAAGGTTTGGCTGGTTTTAGATTCATAATGAAAATTACTGCTATATTCATCCACAGAAACTTTGTATTTCTTTTGATAAAACAGTTGCTCCACTATAAACAAGAGTACGTGACAAAAAATGAAAAAGGATAACCTAGGCTCAAGGCTAGAGCACAGGCAGAAATTAAGTTGCTCTTAGTTTGAGTGTCCGTGTGTGCAAGAAAGAGAGGCAACAGAAAGAGAATGCCATGTCTGTGTGCACGCTAATAAATGTTCACATAATTCCTGCAGATTTAATTTTCAGAATATCTCAACTGTAGACTATAAAACTTTGATAGTTCAAAATCAAGCACGTGTGTTTGTGGGCCATGAATAGTTATGGCTGAAATTTTTCGAATTACTGCACTTGGGAAGAAATGCTGATCATCTGCCCGTGCACGTGTGCATATATGTTGATATTCATGTGCATAATACTTCACTTGTACATGAAATACCAGTTGATTTAGTTCTGCAACACTGAGTCCATTTTGCATGTTTTGCAGGGTCACCCTGTGGCCTCATCGTTGCCTGTCTCAGCTTGTTCACCCTCCTCTACAGTCCTTGAGAAGCCCTCTCAAACTGCTGTTGCCAAAGGGGGCTGTGTGTGTGAAAACACACATCTCTCCCCAGCAGATGGTAGTTTCTCTGGCCATAGTATCCCACCAGCCAGACTGCCTTCCAGGGCTTGGCCATCTCCACAGCCAGCCCAGCAGGCTACTGGCATCACATCACCCTGCTGACAAGATCCTTTTTATGGATTAAGGGTCCGCAACACGTCTTCAAATGCAGGTCAATACCCTGCTTTCCCCTGACCACTTCAGTCCACTCTGTCCTCCACAAACCCACCAGTTTGTGACATATCTGCTGCGACAATGCAAAGATACTGTGTGCTAGTTGTTTCTTCCTTTCTTCTGTTGGGTATCAAATATGAGTCGGCAGATCTCAGATGGGAGGGTTGGTGAATTGAGACAGAACTGTCTGTAGATGGTGTTGAAATGGGCAGCTGGCCTGGCTTTTTGTTTTTTTCATGTTTCCCCGCATACAGACGAGCAGACTCTGTGCATGTGCTTCCTGTCTTTTCCACTAAGCAATGTGTTTTCCCTCTGTGTGATGTGGAGAAATGAGCATTGCAGTAGCTATCAAAGATTCAAAATCAAACACTGCTGCGTTGTCGTCGGATTTGCTCGACAATTCCTCCAGGGGTTCCTGACAAATACAGGTATGCAGCTTTAACACCCAAGACATCCATCACTCCGACCT